AAAAGTATATATAAGTTTGCTTTTTGTTCAGGAGTTAAACGCAATTTGTTTTTTTCAAGAGGGGAGACAGTCAGGACTGTTCAAATGTTTTTATTTGCACGTCCTAGTATATAATCATGTTGCCACTTTAGTATTTTATATTTTTTAGAAGTAATGTACGTACATTTTATACAAATTAACTTAACTATAACTATATCTTTTTTATAATTTTTTTATTTCACTGTTTAAGTGTTTGCAATGTTTGTATTGTCACAATACCAGAATTGCCAGTTATCAATACATGACTACATTTCAACTTAGCTTTTGATCTTGACCTTATTTCTGAGCAACTCAATCAACTTAATATTCACTTGTCCACTAAAAAGACAACATTTCTCAATATTTCACTTCCTTCCATGATAATTTTAGGCTGCGCAGGTTCTATCATATGTCAAGGTCTCTGTCAGAATTAAATCCTCTGTCACTTTTCAATGACAGCCGACTGGTAAAGAGATTGTCAGAAATACTTGTATTGTCCATCGCAAAATCCCTGCATATGGTTATTAAAAACAGGTGTTTGTCATCAAAGCAACAAGAAAAAAGCTGCATATGTTGATGTTCAGGTCTCTGAACACTGAGGTCTGTGAAAATGAGAAAGTGGTCTGCTCTTTGTACCATTGCTCTCCTAAGTTAAATACCTTTTTCTCTTCAACATTTAAAATAAACGGAAGTATTGGGCTACTTTTTCAGTAACAAAATATTGCGCAACACATGTTTGAGGATAATGTCCAGTGAAACCATTATTGTCCTCATGAGTACAGGTTTTCTACAAATCTGTGTGTGTGTGTATATTGTCCAGATATACCATTGTGGTCCTCATAACGTAGGGACTTGCTTTGTGTATGGGTGTGTATGGGTAATGTCCAGCTAATCCACATGGGTTCTCATAAGTCATAATCTTGTCAGGAAACGCCCACTCCCGCCCCCGTCCCCACAGTCCTGTAGAATTTCAGGTCTACAGATCTCTACACTCTTTTACCAAAACTGAATTCTAAATAGCCAGAAATGTAGCTGAATTTTTTATGATCAGTTCAAGCACTCTGCGGTCTCTCTACGGCAAAGGGAAAGGTGGGTCCCCATAAATCAGTGTTTGAACTGGTACGAGGAAAAAGTCCTGACAAACCACCCGTACCAGTATAGGTGTGTGTGTGTGTGTGAGTGACAAGAGCTATATTCAGAGCTCTGCTGCCTTGGCTACAATCTTTCATCGTTGCTGTTGTATGATTGGTGTTTAACTACGGTATTTAGCATCTACAGCACCTCCGCTTTTAGGGTTGACGTAGACCCAAACGTCGCCCGGAGGTCCCCCGGTGTTGTTGCGGGAGCTGCTGCACTAGCTAACGCTGCACTAGCTAACGCTACATTAGCAAAACAAACGCAAATTTATTTTGCAAAAGGTGCAGCGGGCCTCAAACATGTTCCCTCCACTGGTTTCAACCAAGCACTAAATTCGATGTTTTCCAACCACATACGGTTGAACTTACACTTCCCCATATTTATTTGTAAGTAGATTTGAAGATACATGAGTTTCTGACTGCCGCTAGCTGAAGCTTGGTTGCTAGGTTACTAGCTGGGTGTTCTCCAATAAGGGGCCGGGGGAAACAAAGTTAGTGATTACTGGTTCCATGTTGATTTATTTCAATACAGATTGTTGGGGGGAACTGAAAGGCTCTTACCGTACTGGTTACTTTGCAGTCCGGACATTTCCCCCAAAACACATTTAGACGCGATCGCAACACAGAAGTACCTTTCAAATCCCATCATTTTTAAGACCTTCGAAATCATATTTAATGCCTTTCTTATTTTTTTGGTCATATTTAAGACCTTTTTAAGGCCTTAAATTCAGATTATCAAATTTAAGATTTTTTAAGACTTTTTAAGACCCCGCGGGAACCCTGTGTATGCCAAGACCAAGGATGCATACAGCTCATCCCCCCTTCCTCCCCTGGGCTGTTCTGATCACAACCTGGTTCACCTCCTGCCTGTGTATCAACCTCTGGTGCCCACACGCACCGTGAAGAAGTGGTCTGAGGAGTCTGAGGAGGCCCTGAAAGACTGTTTTGACACTACTGCGTGGGATGTGTTCACGGACTCCCACGGGGAGGACATCAACAGCCTTACAGACTGCATCACGGATTACATTAACTTCTGTGAGGAAAACGTTGTACCAACCAGGACTGTACGCTGTTTTCCCAACAACAAACCCTGGATTACCCCTGAAATAAAGGCTCTCCTGAAGGACAAAGGGGGGGGCCTTCAGATCTGGCAACAGAGAGGAGCTAAAGACTGTACAGAGGAAGCTGAGGTGGAAAATCAGAGAGGGGAAAAACAGCTACAGGAAGAGGATGGAAGAACAGCTGCAGCAGAGGAACGTCAGCGGTCCGGGGGGACCGTCAGTGGGCAAACGACTTGAATAACTTCTTCAATAGATTTGATCAGTCATGCCCCTTGTGAGACCATCAATCAACCTCTACACTGCAGACTTCACCCACAAAACTGCTACCTGTCACCTGCAGAAGTTCTCTGACGACTCCGCCATCGTTGGCCTCATCTCCAACGAGGACGACAGGGAGTACAGGGAGCTGACGCAGGACTTCACCCTCTGGTGCCAGAGGAACCACCTCCAGCTCAACGCAGGGAAGACCAAGGAGCTGGTGGTGGATTTCAGACGGCAGCAACACTCCCCCCGACACCAGTGAACATCCAGGGAGCGGACATTGAGATCGTGAAATCTTACAAATACCTGGGTGTTCATCTGAACAATAAACTGGACTGGACTGATAATTATGCTGCTCTGTACAAGAAGGGACAGAGCAGACTCTTTCTGCTGAAGAGACAGGTCTTTCGGGTGCAGGGGGCACTCCTTCAGACATTTTATGACTCTGTTGTTGCATCAGCCATTTTCTATGGTGTGGTCTGCTGGGGCAACAGCATCTCGGCTGCTGACGGGAAGAGACTGAACAGACTGGTAAGGAAGGCCAGCTCTGTCCTGGGGAGTCCTCTGGACACTGTGGAGGTGGTGGGAGAGAGGAGAATGGCAGCCAAGCTGTCCTCCCTGCAGGACAATGTGTCCCACCCACTCCAGGACACCCCGTCCTCACTGTGCAGCTCCTTCAGCGACAGGCTGCTGCACCCCCGCTGTCTCACTGTCTCATATTTTCATGACCCTTTGAGATAGATGCATTACTTTCTGTGTGATTGACAGAAGACATCCTGAAGTAAATGTTGTTGTTGTCATTTGACTTCAATCTCGTTTTTCCTTGCCTACGGGACAAAATAAGTAAACATTGGCTCATCTCACCCCACTCTCCCCTACCAGTAGCTGATAGTATTGTCTCTTATACTCATAAACTTTGAGCATATGTATGCTGAATTTTTGTTTACGATCTTTAGATCATAGTGCGTGAAGCATGTTCTTTCATCTGAGAATCATCTTATTTCTTTAGCAGCATCGGCTGGAACAACAAACCCCGCGACACAAATATATACACAGAATACAGCTACTTCTGTGAATATCAAACACAGTAATCACAAACAGAAGAAAAAAGCCCTGACTCATGGAAAAATAATACAATTATATAAAATCACTAAAATCAATGCTTAAAAAGGGCCTAATAAGACCAAACCCAAAAATGGAATCACTGTCTAGAAGGTGGTGATTTAACTTGCATTGCATTTTAAGAAGGATGATAATCAGAATGTGCTTTGACAGACATTCAAACACAAACTGACAAACCAAAAGAAAACATTTCACAAGCTGTTGGCAACCTTTTGGTATGTGTGTAATTGCCTGTTGCTGTCAGAGAGCTGAGCAGAAACACCTGGGCAGGGACAACCTAGCTGAATGTTTTCACACCTCACTACTGCATACGTATAAACCCAGCTCCACGTGTAGCACCTTTAAGCAGCACAAGAAGGGAAATGTTTAGGTAAGTTGTGAATTGAGTATAGCACATTCTCACACATTGTACCCACTGACACTGTTTGAAAGGGCACATCCCCATTACCATCAGCCACTCAACCATTCCAAGTTCCTAAAAAAACAGTATATATTTATATTTAGTTGTTTCCTTTTACTTGTTTTTAATAATGTAACTTTTCTGTCAACAAAGACAACAGGGCACAATCAGTACTGTCATATTGCTTTGGTTGGAATGTGTGACACTCAACAGACAGAATCTCTGACAGAATCTTAGGTAACAAAATATGAAATCGAAATTCAGCTGTTTTGGAGATGATGCTCTAAAAACCTATAGTCCGACTGCTCAGTGGCAGACAGTGTGCACACAGACACAGCGAGAGACCAGCTGGACTACAAGCATTTAGCAGCTAAAGAGACTGATATTGTTTTCTTTTTTTGTGGTAGGGACCAAAAACAGAGCTCAAAGAGAGTGAATATTGGATTTGCATTCATCGCGTGGACACCAACACAATTCCCAACGAATGCTAAATGTTGCTTTGTAAATGGAGGATACGATAATAAACAATGCTGTGCTCAAGTTTGTTAACCTGTTAAGCCCTGAGCCTGTTTTTCATGTCTCAGGCTCGAAAATGACATTCCCAGAACCAGGGGCGTCGCCTGGACCTGGAAACATTCGGGGCTGAGCCCACAGTGGCGATGTAGGTACCAGAATCTGTTCGGGGTTCGTTACGCCGCTTACCAATGACGTCACGCATTGGCTGTACAGCAACCCAATAGGACATTTTACATGGCCAAATTCCGCAAAGAATATTACAAAATAACAATAAACAGTACTGTAAACATTATGTAAATAACCCAATTTGTGTTCTGTGAAACTGAAAAGGATATTACAGTGTTTTTTGTTACTTTTCGTTGGCTGTTGACAGGAAGTTGTTGTTGCTATGGAAACAACATGACGGAGAAAAAAGTAATATCTTCTCCATATAAAGACGTAGAAAGTAAAGAATAACGTGGTGGCCTACCAGATCTGTTACAATGAAGGCTCGATAATCAGCTCACGACATATAGGTGTGTCGTGTGTGTACAGAGTTATAAAGGTTGGTATAAAATCCTTGTTAAATCGGAGAATTAATTCGGGTTACGCCAGAGGTGGCGATATATGCTCCAAGTGGAAGCGATTCGCCATTAAATAAAAGAAGAAGAAGAAGAATTACGCCATCTGGTGTCACAAACAAACGTGTGCCTGCATTAGCTTTGTTACGGCAATGGATTGTGGGAGATTCTCATAACATGTGAGGATCTCTCGAGGGTAAGGTGCCTGTATTATTTTGGTGGACAAAATGTATGTTTTTATTTTATAAGGACTATAACGTTTTGTTGTGTTTGTTTAGTTTAATGTTAATCGTTTAATGCTCACACAGCAGCATGTTTTTTGTGTGTTTGGCTATTGGTTTTATATGATTTATCAACGTGATCATCGATAGCTAATCTGAGCTAATAAGCTAATGGGAGAGCTGCTCCACACGATGCCTCGACTACAAAGTCTTCCATGTTTCTACGCTTCTTCCTCTGTGTCACAGTTTCGGGAATATCAAGATCATTGCACAGGGCCTTGGTCTTGCTTTCTCGTCACTTCTGTAACTTTTCAGTGTGTTCTCAACTGCTGTTTTGTAATTTACTGCCTGCACCAAGTCAATTGTTTCTTTCTGCAGGTATTTGTGCAGGCCCTGAGTGGTTGAGAGCAGTGTCTGGAACAGGACAAGCATGTAGATGGTACTGCATTTGCAAAACTTGCTTTCCAGCCCCTTTGCCAGAGGGGCTGAAAGGCTCCCTAAAGTCTTGATCAAAGCAGGGAGGTTTTTGACATGCCCAGCGAACAAGTTATTTGTCCCCTACCTCTAGCTGTTTCTGAAATGTTTGCAATCTCTAATGGTGGAGAAGAAAGAGTAGAGACACTCCAGGAGATCAACGCAGGTATGTGAGTTTTGTACACCAGTTTTTTTAAGTTTAATGTTTCACATTGCTTATGAAAAATATACTACCACTATACGATCACTGATGTTTTGTTGTTGACTGGACACTTATTTTTTTAAAGAGATGGCATGTGAGGATCTCTTAAGCAATGAAGCTCACGTGTCCTTTTTATATGCTGTCCATTGAAATGCAGGAAAGTAATCACCAACTGTGAGTGATCTGTTGCCGAGGGGACACTACACCGGAGTTACATAAGCAGAGGTAAAGTACTATTTTTGGGGGGAACTCCCCCAGGAAGATTTTTTTTAAATATTGAAGTTAAAAGCATCAATCTGGTGCACTTTGAGAGCAACATTAAGAGATCTATACATCTCTCAACACCCATATGTCAAAAAAAATCAAAGAATCAGAATCAGAAACAGGTTTATTATTTAAAAACACTTGATTTTCCAATTAAATCATAAACTATGTCAAATTATTAGAAGTTGTTAGTAATGAGATTAAACTGAAAAAAGGGATGGAAGGAGGAAATAATAATCCCTCATCACTTGCTTCCTTCATCACTTGCTGCTTCCTTCATCACATTACCTTTCATTTGCTTCGTTTTTTCTCCCCATCATCACTCGCTGTCTTCACACTCTTTATTGTTTTGTAGGTGGAAGTGTTAGGCTAAATCGCCTTGGTTTGACCTTCGCAAATCGGTCGACGACCTCCCCATGGAGGGTGACATGCCTGTATGCCAATTAATATTTTTTCCCCAACTCCAGAAAACCTGTTTTGAAGCTCCTCCAGCATTCTGTCGAGAACTGGAAAGAAGAGCCTTGTGTATGTTTGAATTTTCATGTTCTCGAAAAGAATCCAATGCACGCTTCCAGTTTGTGTATCCTGAGGTGGTGAGGGTGTCCCTTTGATCCCTTGATTGCTTTGGTTTGCCATATAGTCTACAACTAAAGCAGAATGCTGCATTGGCAGTGGTAGAATATTCAACCCATTTAAAAGTATCAAACCAACTTGGTTGAAATGATCTCTTTTGCTGGCCAAACATGCCGGATGGAAAACAGTGATGTCTCACTTGCCTTGGCCCTGTATCTGCAGTCCCTAAATCAGTTACCCAGTTACCCATTGACTCTTGTCTGTTCTGATGTTCCTGTTCATTGTTGTTCTTATCTGTTGTATCTCCTTCTTGTGTGTCCCTTTCTCCTGTTCTCCTTTCTTCATCCTCTACTATTTTTGGCTCATCTGTGATGACTGTGTAGGTAAACACAAACAAGTATTTAAAATCAGTTTCCAGCTCTGTCAAATAAATGAATTTCAAGATACACAAATTTGTCTTCATTAAAATGAGTGTCACCACACTGTCACAAAATATAATACTAACCAATTGAAAATAGTTAAATTGACATTGGAAACCTCTTGTACAGTAGATATCACTGTTAGTAGTTATCTGCCAATAGGAGAGAATCATTCCTATACAAATGCAGTTTGAGTAATTCACTTAATATATTTACTTAACACTTAAATATAGTCATTTTCACGTAATACTCGAATAGTCATCTTTCTGCATTCAAAACTAAGGAAAGCTGTACAATTTGACATGATAATGAGGAAAAAAGGCCTCCGACAATGCAGATTTTTTGATCATATCAATTTTAAGATGGGGGTTGAGGCTTAATATTTGGGAGCATAGTGTCCCTTGTCCCCTTTCAGGAGCCCTACTGGATTAGCTTTGATCTGAAATCTTTGTATATAAAAAGCTTGTTAGCTGGCTGTCCATCTCATAATGTTCACATAGAAACTAGCTATCAATAGGAAATATCAATCAGAATTATAATTTCATGCAAAAATCTGTCACAAAAAGAGGTTGCACATTTAAATTCAGGTGTTATGGCAACGTCAGTGGCCAAACAGCCACATTTACTGCTGCAAATACGTTCAAACGTGCTGTCGACAGTAAAGCAGTGGCAACTAGGCCACCATTTAAACTGACTTTTCTCAGAAATACTGTCACATAACATCCATATATTTCAGTGCTAGGTTGATGCTTAGCTAAGCTAACTATGAAACACTTTAACTGACAGGACTCAGGATCAACTGTGTACTGTAAGGTAGCTTCTAGCTTCCTGTCGAACAGTAAGTCAACATTTCCCAGAGAGCTTTCTTTGAAATCACCAGGTAACGCTAAAAAACACAACATTTATATTGTATGACAAAGTGTTTATTTAATATATCTGGCTCGCTATAGCTACTTGCTAACGGTTTAGATTACCCGTGCGATTCAAAGTAACGTCAACGTAGCTGTAATTTATGCTTTGCTTACATGTTCGCATAACTTGGAAGTTTACTGACATGTACATACCTTGTTCACCTGGCTCAGGTGGTGGCTCTGGGGTTGTTGTGTGAGCCACCACTTGAGTATTGCCGTCTTTTTTATTGAAAACATGTCTAATGTCCATCTTCAGAATCTCCGCGTCCGGGGCTGACAGTTTAAAGTTTAAACATTGTCACAGAGGAGAGGTACGTACCTGTCAGCCAATAAAACACGTTTATTTCCATGCAACTCTCTGATTGGTCTGGTGGTGTCTTGGCTTGCCTATGTTGCATTCACTGAACACGGGAAATTACAAATCTGCCGTCCTATAGGTAAAGAAGTACGGTTAATGTATTATATTGAGGGAGAATTTGTCCGGGGCTAAAGAAAAAACATCCGGGGCTAAAGCCCCGGATGCCTACCCCAGGCGACGCCACTGCCCAGAACAAATGACCATATCTTCCCTTCTAAAAGGGTTAAATTAATAATCTTTTTTCTCAAAGTAATGATAAACCTGTGAGTTGGATGTAGAAAAGTCAGAATCAATATAGATGTTTTTTATTTTAAAGACAATTCAGATTGAACATAGTAAAAAAACTGTAAATTATAGTGTCCGTCCAAAAATTATTTTGTACTTATAGTGAAAACTACACTTGGATGATGGTAAGGTAGACTAAAAGCTTTAGGAATTCAAAGTACAACATATAATAAGTACCCTGTATCAAGATTGATGCAAAACAAGTGACATTTTACCTTTTTAGAGAGATTTAGCAAAAAGAAACCACTTCTGGGGTCATTTGGGTGGATTTTCCATATCTCTGGCCCCCCTTGGTTGATTTTGATGGTTGACACCTCTTTCTGACCGTTAGAGCCAATAGAATCGAAGGGGGAGTCCCCCACACACACTCATTGTGAAGAGAAAAGTTGGGGGCTTCGCGCATGTAATTTTCCATCAGAGTGAACCTATCTCTAGCTTTGAGATCTGGAAACGGAAAAGCAGTTTTAATGCTTATGGATTATCAGAAATAATTTCAAAGGGACACAGACACATTGGATTAACCTATGGATTAACTTCAGCAGCGTTTTTATCGTTTTAATGCCATTGAAGACCACTTTGGAGAGACTACAGAGCCAAGGTAAAAATGTTAGCATTTTTAGCTATCTAGCGTCACCTGTTTTGATGTCCGTTTTTGCTTATAACGTCGCCATTTCGTATAATTCAGTGATAATGTGGGTGTCCAACGATTCTGTGTCACCTCACGATGTGAAACGATGTCATGGATGTAGAGAAGAGATAAATAATAAGGTTTTGTGAGTGATTTTCGGTGCAGTAAGGTGTTAGTATTTTTCGCTCGTTGCTAATTCAGAGGCTCAGTGTTAGCATTGTGGGTTTTATTTTGAAAAAAAAAAGAAAAATGATCAGTTAGATGAGTTTCTTCCCGTTACATGGATATAAAACATTCATAGTTTATTAAATGAACATGCCCTCAGACACTGTTTCCTGCAAGATGTTGCGGCAGTGCCCCGGTACCGGGGTTTCTCGGGCTTAACAGGTTAATATTGCCCACACACGGTCGCAAAAATTAGCTTTCACTTGGGAGACTGGGCAAAAAGCCTATATGAGATTTACTTCAACCAGATGTGCCACTACCACCTACACAGCCTGACCTTCTATGTGGCTCCAAAAAACACTTTTTGTATTGATAGTGAACATCAGGAAACAGCATGTCCAATTTCCAAATTCTTCAGATTTCAGTAAATGCCAACACTTTCTAGTTCTATATTTGAATGTACCACACATATTTAGCTGTTTGACAATTATCCCGTTATTAAAAATTAACCAATAAATAATGTTTAACCATTATTTCCAAGATGTTCAACCTGATGACATTGTAACTTGCAAGTAACTATAATTTTACACACATTTGTATCATACAGATGCAGGACTTGCACATGCCTGTTATCTAACCGACAGGTCCACACGCACTCACCAGCCGAAACTCTCTCGTCTTATTAATTTAAGCAGCCAACATATGCATAACCAGCCGCTTAATGCGCAGTGCAGATTCGGTAATAAATACAAAATAAGCATTCATTCACAAACTAAATCAGGAGACCTTTAAAGTTTTATGTCCGATGGCATCAGAAAAAAAAACACAGTAGCCTACTATTAGTTATTAGAAATCAGCTGTTTATTAGGCTGCATTTATGCAGTTCAAGGGATAATTCTCACCTAAAGAGGGAGGACACTCCTCAGATGTCTTAAACACATGGGACATCGTAAAACAGTAAACACACAAACATACAGTACTATTTGTCATTAGATATTAAAATCAGCTGTTTATTAGGCTGCATTTATGCATTTCAAGGGATAATTCTCACCCACCTCTTGCTCTTGCCCTGCACTTGTATGTGCCAGTTGAGCTGGTTCTTCCACCAGCTCAACTCTCTGTCCCTCATCATGAACGCAGGAGGCTGGCTGTATATCTGAACTCGCGCCCTCATCATTATCTTCATCATCTTGCACTTGTTCTAAGCTGCTGATGATAGTGCTTGTGAAAAAGATCTGTCAATTTGCGACATTTATATGCTTCACCTGCGAGTGACTTCACCTTTTTTTCTCTTGCCTTCTCGGCCCCACCTTTTTCTTTTCGTTTTCTTTGATTTTTATCCATGTTTTTTCATTCTCCCTGTCTGCCGCGTCATCTAATCCCTTCTCTTCGTGTGGCCGGTCTTTTTTCTTCTTCGTGTGTTATTATTTGACAGATAAGAACCACACAACTGCATTAGCGGCCGCTGTCGCCCTCTGTCGGCCGTCAGCGCAACTTAAAATATGACGTTAAACAATTTTTTTTTAAAGGGCTGGCTGGCCGGCCGTCAACGGCCCTTGACGACCGGCAGTTCTGTGGTTCTCCAGATTCTACAGATGGCCAGTCCGCCCCTGCTTGCAGATGCATTGTAGTATAAGTAGGAGTATATAAAAAACATCAAAGAACAAATACTTGGAAAAAGTGATGTTTATTAGTTCAAAACTGGACATTTTAATGTATTAATTGTAAAAATAATAGAGAGAAGATCCAACATACATAGAAAAGGGAATACACAATAAGCATTTTGTTTCATTTAGCTGACGCTTTTATCAAAAGCGACTTACAAATAGTATCTATCTATTCTGTGGGTACCACAGATGGGCAGACATTACAAAGAGCACAGCAAACTGTTACCATCTTGTCAAGGGAAGTAGGTTGTCCTTGAGTGGCTGCTTGGCAAAGAGACAGCGGGATGGTGCTCTGAAGGATGGTGTATTTGTTCCTGACCAGGCCAATGACTCTTTCCACATGGATCCTGACGGCAGCGAGTCCCCTTGTGGATTCAAGTTCCAGTGGATGCAGTTGCTGCTTGCCTTTGGTAAATGCTGGTATTTTCAACTGTGCATTATACAGTCCCACAGTGTCTTTCACATTGAAGCCTCTGGTCATCTTTCACACATTCTACCTGTTCAACTAAGGTGATGTCAAGCCCAGTGGCATCACTGGTGCTGGAAGGTGCCACAGTCTCATGGTCACTATCAGGAACCAAAGTCTCAGTCCGTTTCCTTTTCATCTGCTGAGTATGCTCAAATCTGCTGGTGGCATAGATGCTTCTCTGCCGCTGTCCAGCTGACGTGTGCGCAAACAGGCTGGGGATGTAGTCAGGGCTCATGGGGTTGTCATTTTTTCTTCCTAAGCAGACAGAGGCAAACATGGTAGAATATTAATGTGTGTATAGGCCTCCTAATAAGATAATGACAAGAAGTATTACGATCCTTAACTGAAGTAAAAGTAGCAATAATACATGTAATATAAATACACAAGTAATTTAAGGCATGCATTCAATAATATTGAGAACGGCAATTTCTTTCTCAATTTGCTGCCAGAAATGTTTATTTTATTCAAATTCAGTCGGTTTCAAGCGTAAAGGAACACAGAGCAAAACTAATGCAGTCCTTTCAAAACTGGGAATATTTTACTCGTGCTATGTTACCATTACACTGCTAACGGTAATTATTATTCGGCAACTGAATTATCTATGTTGAAGTATTTTGAAAACGTATTTCTGACAAAAAGATAACAATAAGTGAAGAGCTTACCGGAAACAAAGTGTTGACTGCACAATCTGG